ATTAATTTCTGAGTATAAATATGCGCTTTTTTTGGATTACTTGACCAACTTCTGAGCAAAATTTCCTCTCTCCCAATGTGATTGGGTATACAGTACAATAAAAAAATCATGAACATTATTTTATGTATTTTAAAGCGAGCTTCTAAAAAAATGAGCAAACATTTTATTTTTCAGGACTTGTTTTGGAGTGGATGAGATTGTTAGCGATTTTTTCATTGCGATTTTTTTTTGACAGCTATTCAAAATTTCCTTCTCTCCCATAAGATTCGCTATATGAGGAAAAAAATTAGTTTACGAATTTTAAAAGCAAGCATTTGTTGCCAAATAGAAAAAACAAAACCTGTCTATTCCGGCGCGAAAAATGAAATTTGCGAATTTTCTGATTGGAAACCTATGCAAGTACAGTAACCAGAAAATGTTCAATCCCAGGACATGATGCTTTTCGCCAAAATTAAAATTATCCAATCATCTGCAATTGTACGCAGTGATCTTTTGTTTAAGCGCACCTTCTATTTTCCAGGACTTGTTTTGAAATGGATGAGATTGTTGGTGATTTTTTCATTGCGAATTTTCTCGCTGAAAGCTATTCCAGGCAAATTTCCTTCATGAGCCACTGGAAAAAATAGTTTTATTTTTTTTATTTTCCACATCCCCCACGCTCCCCTCCTCCTTCTTCTTTTTTTTCTCTCCCCTTTTCATTCAAAGCTGTGGTGGTAATGAGTCCACTCGGAAAATTGAAAAAGTGGCAACAACTGGTGTTTGGCATTCATGTGTTGGGGATGGAAATAAGGGGGACCAACGAAGCGATTCATAGCCGACTGTTAATCTCTGCTTGTCCCCCCTTCGTCACATTCCCTTTATTTATTTTTTTCTTTCCCCGACTGATTTTTCCGCATTCTTTGAGGGTCGTAAATTATGCGTGGCAAATTGATCCTTTTGTTCCGATCCGGTTTCAGCAGCTGTACGGAAAATTTTGGACAGATTTTCACCAGCGACTTTTCGCACAATGAGATACACATTTTTTTTTTGTTCGTCATTATCCGAGGGAATTCACTCGCGAAATTTTATAATTTTTCAGCTCTAGTGCAGAAGACAAGGTATTTTTCAACAACAACAAAAATCAGACGATAGGATAATATTCAATCAGATTTAATACTTGTGAGATTTAAAGAGAATCACGCGGAATAAAGTAACAGCAAGACCCCGGATAATGCACGACTATGGCTGATTTTCTCTTCGGATAACGGACTGCATATTGAATAATATTCACCAGAAAAATCATACAGTATTTGCTAAATTTTCTTTTCCCTTTTTCCGCGAATTTCACTGTTGTTTTATGCTGAAATGTCATTCCTCATATTCTAAAAAAAAAATTATATTAGAAGGACTTCGCGCAAATTTTCACATTACTCAAATTAAGGGACTTGTTATGGCTCTTGAATCAATTGAAAATCGCTATAATTACCGTACTCGAAAAAAACTTGGTTTATGGACTTTTTGCATGATATAATTACCCCAGGAACACCTCAAGTCCATTAACCGAGGCATCACTGCAACTTGAAGACCAAAACGCTTTCTCTCGTCTCTTTTTTCATTCCCGAATGTTTCGTTATATGCACAGTATATATATTTTTTTCAAGCTAGCAACTCATAATTTACGAGACACATATTCCGCAAGGGAAAATAAACAATGATCAAGTGTTGAACATTTTTTACACTCATATTTTTTTTTCCTCAACCGAGAGGAATTAGAGCTCGTCGGGCACGTGTCAGGGTGTTGATAGAAGCCGGCAATTTTCCGCTTGTTGCTGTAGTTACATTTTTTTTTTTTCGCTCATACATGTTTTACTTTTTTTAGTCATTCAAACGGAAAAGAGGGGGGCGATGAAATTTACATGAGATGAGAGAGGAAAGGGGATCAAGCTGAGGGTAAACAAATCGTAAACGGATATTCCATTTGCTGATGGCATGAATTATTCCGCCTCTGCCTGTGAGTGACATGCGTCCCTCTGAGATGAAGTTGGAAAAGCAAAAAAAAAAAAAAGAAGAAGAAGAGAAAAGACATAAATTCACCCTGGAAGGATACCACAGATGTGTTAAATTGTATTGTAGTATAAAAATTATTAAAATAGATTCCAACTCGCCAAGTTAAAATATTTGAGCAGATGGTAGATTAAATCAGAAGATGTGAAAAAAATACCTCGTAAACCAAAATACGATTCATGAAAATCTTGACACAATGGAACGCAGATTTTTCGGAAAATTTTGGAACATTTTGGCTTGTCGGATATGAATCATAGTTTTTAAAATACTGCACAGGATAAAAAAATTTAGACAGACAGTTTGAACTCACTTCCAGCTTGAATTTTACTCAGGAAAATTGCTCACACCTGAAGATGAATGTTTGAAAAATCAAAAATCTTTTAAAAATATTTAGTTGCTTCTACATATCAAACTGGATCATAAAAGTTAATCATGCAGAGAAAGCCTGGAAAACTTTGCAAATATTATTTTTTTATTACAACTAAATTTTGAATTCGGAAGAATGTAAAAATATAAGAAATATTTCTTTCGTCCAATCTTTGTTTCATGGCTCAAAAGTTGGGATCCAGATTTTTCTGTTCAAAATTGTTAATGAGGTGAAGCTTGTGACTGATGCATCATCAGTAAAACCGGCAAACTCATCCAATTTTGAAAAAGTAAGTTCTAAACAAATTTTTGTAATACGTTATTTGCAGAGAAAATTTGCTAATGCGGTATTTCTTGGGCACAAAATAAGAGTTTGATCTTGATTTTTGGAGGAAAATTGCACACCAAAAAAAAGCAAGATTATAGAACCCAGAAATGAAGATGGAAAACAGGTGTTGAAGAAGAAGAAGGAAAAAAAATACACATATAAAACAGAATGAATATGAACCCCCCCCTCCTTGTGCTTTCATCACCCCCAATCCCTATACACACACATGTGGTGGAAATTAATTCAGCATCCCCCGCCAGTCAGGGCCCAATTAAATGCTGCAGCTTGGGCCCAGATCAGCCCACGCTCCCCCCCTCCTTGTGCTTTCATCACCCCCAATCCCTATACACACACATGTGGTGGAAATTAATTCAGCATCCCCCGCCAGTCAGGGCCCAATTAAATGCTGCAGCTTGGGCCCAGATCAGCCCACGCATTCACCCATTGCCTGTTGTCTCTCCTGTGTGTGTGTGTGTGTGTGTCACCCTGTATGTGTGGACGTATATATGTCAGTCAGTCAGGCAGTCTGTCTGTCTATCTGTCTGACTCTAGGCTCATCTGTCCTTTCATGCATGCCAGAGGAATGTTCTCAAAGTTGTGGTTCTAAGAGGTAGTTGCAAGGGGGGTCCCAGCAGGGCTGTATTGTGATATAAAGCAGTGTTCCCCATCCCATGGTCCACAGAAGTTTTTTTCAATGTCTGCAGGAAATTTTCTGCAGCATAAAAAATTTGTCAAACATGGTCTGTTATCTTTATCTGAAATTTTGGAAAGACAATGGCAGTTTGAAATTATCTGATGAACGAATAAAAATTGACTTTTACTCTTAAGGAATATTCAGAAAAATGTTCTTGTGCTGAAATAAATTATTATTTGTTCATTCTGAGAAACCTCTCATCCAGCCCACATTTCTAATGAAGATATTTATTGTACAGCTACTTCATTGGTTCTTAATTTTTGCAAAAAAAAAAGCAGAAACATTTCCATACTTGCCACTTAGTCTCTCAAGCAAAACATTTACAAGTCTGCAAAAGTTGTATGAAACTTTGGGCATCTGCAGAAAATTTTTGGGAAATTTTCCAGTCTGCAAACATTTTTGTGAATGTGCCAGTTTGCTGACTTAAGACAGTTGGTGAACACTGATTTGAAGGATCAAATTTGAGGGGGGGGGGGGATTTGAATCAAGAAGGAAGATCAGCACAATTGAGTGCAACATTATACCAGCAGTTAACCTGCACTTTATATGCCATGAATGTCATCTGAACAAATCTTCCTCTCTTTTTTGCACACCTGATATACAATACCCTTCATATACTGCCATTTAGCACCCATAACATTTTTTTTGGGCATTAATAAGCAAGGCTGGCACTATTGACTGCTGTTTCAGTGCTGCCCATAAGATATGGCCTGTGGGCCAGATCCGACCTACTGAGGCTCTTCATGTGTCCCACAGTCCCTCCCCTTTGATTTTCAGTGGCATCCACCATCATTCAAAATGCACATTGAAAGATCAATTTAAAATTTCAAAATGCTGTTCCACCCTTCAAAAATTCTACAAGACTGTGCTTGTGATTCAATGCATGACACTGAATTAAATGTGAAAGCTTTCATTTAAAAATGGGGAAAAATTGGAACCTCTAAAATGATTGTCTATTGTGGCCTGCAAGGACTGGACTATTTATACTGTGGTTTTGGATATTTGAGCTCTGGCTTCTTTGAATAAAAAAATGAATAGCATTTCAAATTCAAAGGTTCTGAACTCTGGGTTGAACTTTAAAATCATTGTCTACTTTGGCCTGCAAGGACTCTCCTCCTCTGGAAAGTGTCCTTTGGCCACAGCTGAGTTGGGCAGCACTGGACTGTAAAGCACTGCAAATTTGGACATTTGAGCTCTGGCTTCTTTGGATAACAAAAATTGAATAGCATTTCAATTTCAAAGGTTTTGTAATGGGATGAACTGATTTTGACACAGAACTCAAATGTTTCCCATAAGAAATATTTCTTTTGCTTCCAAATAACTTCCTGCAGACCCCATGTTTTATGCTGCAGCGTTCCTTCCAACCCTAGGCAGATATTCTCCCTTCCTCTGGAAAGCGCGGCTGTCCATCTGTGAGTGTTTGCAGAAGAGGGGGTGCGTGTGGGGGGGGGGGGGGGGGGGGGGGGGGACCTGAGTGGGGAAAATTGAGCTGGTGACCGGGGAAAAACGAGGTCACTGGGTGGGGGGGGGGGGGGGGGGGGGGGGGGGAGAAGAGGATCAATTGGGACCATGCGGTGTGGAAATCGCAAGCGGCAAATTAGCCTGATGGTGATGTTCATCCGGATGCGAGAGGATTGCAGAAAAAGTAGAGGAAGAGGAAGGAAGGAAAAGAAAGTCTGCGCGAAGTATTGTAGTGGGATAATCTGTCCCGCTGTCTGGGAATGTCCGGCGGGATATGCTGAGGGGGTGGTGGTGCTGGACAGAGGCAAGTGTAAGTAAGCTTGGTTTCCACCAGTTGCATCAAAAATTTCACACATGGTTGAAACTCAAAAATTCATTGCCAAATACAGGTGAACCTACATAAGTCAAACCTTCCTAAGTTGAATTTCTTTGTAAGTTGAATTTCTCCCAAAGTCAAATTTTTTTGTCAATGTCCCTGTCTGGATTTCCTTAGAATCAATGCATTAAAAACCTCGCTAACTCAAAGTCTTTTCCTCTAAAACCTCTGTAAGTCAAATTTTCTGAGGCCTTCTGGTCATTATTTCCTTGAAATATGAAAGAGAAAATCATTAAAACAAATAATTTGATGGATCTTGAAAGGAAGTGAAAGACCAATAGAGCAAATGAACCCATGCCTCCAAGGTCAGCAACCAAGTTTAAGGAGCAAGTTTAGGCCTGGCCCAGAATATCCTCATTTATGATTTCCCACAATTTTTTTTCACTTCTCCTCAAAACAAAAATGTTTGTTTCCTGAACTGGAAACCTCCAAAAATCAAAACCTCCATAAGCCAAATTTTTCTTCCTGGTACCCAGAAATTTTGCTTACAGAGGTCCAACTGTACAGTCAAACCCTAATAAGTTGCCACCATTTTTCCAGAGCAATTTTTGTCAGTTAAAAGGGATTGACAGTTTATTGAATATGTCATTTAAAATAATTTGATCAAAAATACTCAATTTTCCTTGCAAAGGAATAGAAATACAGATTTCTAAAAACTTCAGTGATTTTCCAAAGAGTATTGCTGTGATCAATGGATAACTCTTCCAGAAAATTAATTTTTCTGCATCAATACATTCAAATATTAAATTTAAGTCAACATATTGTTCAAATCTTTCAAAAAATTAACATTATTATTTTTTATTACAAATACAAAATTCTTGACAGAAATTATAATTCTACCCCAATGTTGGCATTGTGAAAAAGACAAAAATAATACAAAAAATAGTACACTTCTGTTTCATCACTAATGTTAGCTGATGGCCATTGGTGTCTTATCAAGGTTTTCTATGGCATTTAACACAGAGTAGATTTGTTTCATTCAAAATTTTGGTGGCTGCCAAGGGTGGTGCTTTATGGGGGGGGGGGGGGGTCAGACATATTTATGGGGTTTGACTGTACTTCCCTAAGTTGATTTGTTTTAGTCCCCCTCTGCATTCCCTTTAAAAATGCATCAAAAACTTCTCTAACTGCCTTTTCTCTCAAACCTCAGTATCTCAAATTTTCTGAGGCCTTCTGGCTATGACTTTCTTGACACAGAGAAGTAAATAGCAATAAAAAATTAACGTGGTATGCTTCAAAGGGAGTGAAAGACTAATTGGACAATTGAACCATTCTTTGAAGTTCAGTATCCCACCAACTCACTTAAGAAGCAATTTCATGTTCAGATTATCACCATTACAATTTCATGCAATTTTTTCTAGTATATATCCCACAACAAAAATGATTGTTTCCCAATAACTCAATTTTTTTTGCTGGTCCCTTGAAATTTGTCTTTGAAAGTTTTGATGGTATAACAGCAGCAACAAATCAAACAAAAAGCACATCTGTGTAATTTTGAACCTTGCGTCAAAGTTTTCACTAGATCAAATCATTATTGTGATCTTTAACATCCGTTGGATATAATGTGTACAAGACCCTGGATTTCGTGCTACAATCCATTCATGGTGTTCGGATTTATTTCTTAGAGAATACATTTTCAGCCAACAGAATTATCCGCCAATTTAATGGACTGAACTTGGGGCAAATCGAGAAATTCCTTCATAATACTGTAGTAATGTTGTTTGTCATTATTTGGGTTTTGGTTTGAATGTACTATAACTGGCCAGTTTTTAATGATTCTATTAGCTTTACATTTCTTGGTTTGTTAGCTTATTTTCAATAAATTTCAATTCGATTTCAACTTTCCCACTTCTCCTCCCAAGGATTAAGGAGGAATTTCAATCAGAAAAAAATGTGGGTGCGTTCAATGAAAATAAAGCAATTTATTCCCTGAGACAAATCCCCAGCTTTCAACAAAGTAACAACGTATTCAAGCCGGATAAAACACGTCTTATTGCAGAAATAGAGTAAAACATTTCCGAGAAAAAAACACACGTTTCTTTCAACAAATAATGAACTATACAGTATAAGGAAAATTTCAGACAAATAAGGAAAAGCTTAATTTTTGCTGGATTGGAAAATTTTCGGATACTGTAAAACGTGAATTTCAGGTTTGTGTCTCTCGAATTGTTTGATTCGGCATTGGAAATCTTTTTCAACGATGAAAAAATTATTTAAAATGGATTCTTTGTTATACGTAGTACAGTACTGTACCCAAATAAGACCTGCATCATCAGGTTCACAGATTTAGCAAAGTTATCTGTGAACCTCACTCAATTAGACATAATTGCGCACATTCAAATTTCAAGCCGGAAAAAGAAGTGAGTGAGTTCAGAAACACAGGAGCCAGAATAAGATGAGAACAGGAAGGAAATATACAGTGAGACCCCCAGATGCGGACATAATTGGTGAATCAAGAGTGTCCCTAAGTTGAATTGTCCCTAAGTCAAGTCTTGTTTTCCCATAGACTTACATTATATAAGTTTTAATTGGCGTTTCATGGAGAAATATTCTTCAGAATTCCACAAAAAAAATTTCTTTGCCACTTGAATTTGATTCAGTGAATATATTTTCAACTCAATAAGAACATTTGGTCGCATTTGTCCAGCAGCAGTTCCCCTTGACAAGATTTCCCGCTTTTTTCCATCCATCCTTCCTTTCATCTTCTCAGGGGGTAATTTTCTTTTGTATTATCAACATTTCCCCCCTTTCCTTTATAGAACATTTGGAGCATTGAATAGTATACCTCTGAACAGTGCATGGAAATGTTGGCATGTGCAAAAAAAAAATTACAGTCACAAAGAGAGAAGGAAGTCCCTCTATAATGCAATAGGTAATTTTTTAAATCAGCTGAATGGATGGGAAAATGATGGGAAAAGTACCAAAGAGTTTTTCTTGAATAGATCTTTGGGTTGGAAATATCTGTTTCTTGCAATTAAGCCTAATAAAAGTCTATTTTCCTAAAATGTATTGGCAATTTTATTATGGAATGTCCTCATGTTGAGTCAGTGTCTGTTTGTCAGGCCTTTTTAATTATTTATTTATTGAAAAATAAATATCCCTATGTCAAATTGTCCCATGTTGAGGTGTCCGCATGTTGGGGTCTCACTGTATATCCTTCTATGAAATGCCGCAGACCAAGGAAATGACTAGTCAAGAACATTTCAAAGTTATATTTGATTGGACATGAGAGGAAACAGAACTCCCGACTTGATTTTAATTTCAGTCTTTCCGTTTCCCTCAAATCGAAAAGTTTGTGGAAAATTAAGTTGAACGAGACAAAATGAAAGATCATCTGAAATTTATTTTTATGATCTTGTGGTGGGAGAAATGACGAAGAATTTTTCTGGCATGAATCTTAGGGTTGGAAACATCTGTTTCTTGCAATCAAGCCAAATAAAAATCAATTTTTGTGAAATTTATTGGCAATTTCAGCATGCAATGTCCTTATGTCAAGTCAGTGTCCATATGTCAGGCCTTTTGTATGCCCTTTTTATTGAAAAATAGATGTCCCTATGTCAAATATTCCACATGCCAATGTGTCTGTATGTGGGGTCTCGCTGTATGTACAGTGCAGTATTTTAAGAAATGCCAGAAAATAATGCCACAAAGCGAGACCCAGCAGGCAGGGCCACAGAAAGGGGCAATCAGTAAAGGTCCTCGCCAAGGCCCATTGCCCCACGGAAACCCGAAAGTCACGCTCAAATAGCCCGCAGATAATGACCCGGTTTGATTAAATGGCTCTTAATGCTGACTAATCAGGCGGGCAAATGAAAGCACTTGGCCCGTGAAGGAAACCCAAATTGGATGGCTTCCTACCATCATCAGCCTCATCTTCTCTTCCTCCTCCCCGAAAACGAAATGTGAGAGACAGAGAGAGAGAGAGAGAGAGAAAAATATATATAATTTCCTTTCCCCCCTTTACAACTATTATGTTTTCTTTTAATGGGGGACTCTTCTACTTTCCTTCCTACCTACCTTTTTTCGCCCTTTAGAACAGTTCCCCTTGACGACGACCTGTTTACGCTGGTTGTCAGGAACTCGGACAACAAATGTTCCCAGTTCTTGGACACATTGGACATACATTTCCCAGAGAATTGCGGAAACACACACACACACACACACACGCAAAAATTGAGGAAAATCCAAGACAAATCTGACATTCACTATGGTCTGATTAGGCGCTCTTCACTCAGGAATCCTTGAGTAAAATGTTTTCAAAAGCGTCTAAAATCGACTTTTACTAGCTATAAAAAATATAATATAAACAGTGTTCCCAGAATTTCCCATGTGAGAGTATTCTAGAAAAACATTGCGGCCAAGTTTTTCATTAATTCGACCAACAACAAAAATTGAAGGGAAGATAACCCAAATACAGCACAGTTCAATCACCAAAAATCATTTTTGATTATTCAACAATTATTACCCAAAGTGTTTCAAATAATTAAAATATATTTTTGTACACTTCACTAAGAAAATGCTGCAAAATTTCTGATCAGTAAAACCGCTGGATATCGACTTCCATAGATTTTTATACAATTATTGCTATTTTTCTGGTCATGAAATTTCCAGTCTTCTCTGTTATTGGAGGGAGGATTCTGAATCAAATATGCCTATGAGAGTTTCAAATTCTTCCCAATTATAAGCGCATGAAGAAAAAGTACAAGAAAAATGCAAAAACAAGGAATGTACAATTTAAAACTGAAATTTACCAGAAATTTTGCAAACCCCAACTGCTGGATTTTTTATACAATTGAACCTTGCTAACTCAAAACTTCCTAAACCTCCTGCATAAAATAATTGTTTTTGCTCATCCAAAAATGTCCTATGATAGCAGTTCAATTGAGATCTTCTGAACTCAAAGAATTTTCCCATCAAACCTCCATAATTCAAATTTTT